TATGGAATGATTGTAAGGTGTACATGTCTAGCTGGCAGGTGTCATCTGACCTTGACCTCATTTTCATGGTTCAGTGGTCAAAGTTAAGTTTTTGAGTTTTGGTCTTTTTTTCTAATACTATATGCAATAGTTCAACTATATGTGGTTTATGGAAATATTTTATGATCTATTTGTCAGTCACGCAGGTTTTTTTTTTACCTTGACCTCATTTTCAAGGATCATTGCTCAGTGTTAAGTTTTTGTGTTTTGGTCTGTTTTTCTTAAACTATAAGCAATAGGTCAACTATATTTGTTGTATGGAAGAATTGTTAGCTGTACATGCCTGCCTAGGCCAAAAAAAAATATATTTCTGTTTACGGTTACCCGACCGACCCTACTTTTGAGCACTGACCCTAAGTCATTTTATTTCTGTCGTAAAGTGAAAAATAAACTGAACTCGTGTCCAAAGCGAAGTTAGTGTTGCAAATGATATAAATCAATTGCCTGATACATCCCAATGTTCACAATCGTGTATATGACAGCTGTTTTAAGGAAATTCGCAACTCGTGTGATGAAATAAACACTTTGCCGCCATTTTTTTCCAACAAATTACCAAGGGAAAGAATCCAATCATTAAAAATACAGGTAAACTCGGCCCATGATCAACTAGGACCACGACAAGACAAAACGGCATGACTCAAAATCATGTCAGAAAAACAAAAATGAAAAAATAAAATAAAATTGAAATACCGACCTACCTACCCTATTTTTTTAAAGTATGTAACCTTAAACAGACATATATTTTTTTTTGGCCCTAGCATGGTTCATCTGACCTTGACCTTGACCTCATTTTCATAGTTCATTGGTCAATGTTTTGTTTACTTGGTTAATGTTAAGTTTATGTGACAGTTGTAATAAACAGTCAGGGGACTTACTTAAATGAGTGATTTTCTAAATCACTGATTCAAGTATCATTATGTCCATAAAGGTTGGAAGTAAGAGTTGTCTTTCTTTAATAATCACCTATTTAAGTAGTACAAATTAATCACTAGACTAAGTGATTTAATTTTATTGTAGCTTTGAATATAGAATACTAATGATCCAGGGACTAATTATGTTGCTAAAAATTATCAGAACCAACATCTGTGTTGATAGGATGACCGGGCCATGTCAGGTGATGACCTTGTACTAAATCTAGGACAGTGACATAAAAATCACTTGTTTAAGTATCATACCTCAATTTCCTTCCAAAAAATCACTTCTTTAAGTATCATTATTTTAATAACCCCCTCTAATTTCAACACCCCCGAACAGTGAAATTTTGATCGCGAACAGTAGAATTTTATTACATAATCTATAAGATGAAACCTTGAATTTTACAGGAAAAATACTCCCACTGCTGGGAAAAATCTGTTGAGAAAGTATCAGTTCATTATGTCAAGCCATTTTTATAGCATTTTTTCAACTAAAATAGAATTTGCAGCTAAATGATTGCATCAAAGGAATAAACCTTGCTGCTTAAAAGAAGCAAAAAGTTAATGTTTTTCAATTTTACTAATGAAAAGATATTATCTAAACCTATGTGTTTAAAATTTTGGTAAAACTACAAAATCACAATTTATGACAAAACTTCGAATTTGCTACTTAAATAAGTGATTTAAAAATCACTTATTTCAATAAGTCCCCTGACTGATAAAGCTTTATATTTAGGACTATCAACATAATATCAATGATTAGTAAAGAAGGCGAGACATTTCAGCGTGTGCACTCTTGTTATATAGATTAGACCGTTGGTTTTTTCCGTTTGAATGGTTTTACACTAGTAATTTTTTTGGGCACTTTATAGCTTGCTGTGCGGTGTGAGCCAAGGCTTCGTGTTGAAGGCCATACCTTGACCTATAATGGTTTACTTTTATAAATTGTAAATTGGATGGAGAGTTGTCTCATTGGCACTCATACCACATCTTCCTATATCTATATACATATTTACAAATGATTTATGTCATGTATGTCTTGTAAGGATTTAAAAAAAATTTTTAGACTGACTGAGCCAACTTTTGTAAGTAAAAAATCTGTAAACCAACCAATTAAAAAACCCTGTCCTTAATCGGTGCATTACATTTGCGCCCATTACTATTACATTTGCACACAAAAATCATTACGTTTGTGCGCATTCTTTTACATGTAAACTCAGGTAAATACAGGCATGACAGGTAGATTAATATACTTATTTATTTATTTAACTCTTATTTTCGAGCAGGATAAGTCCGTTTTCATGGTTTTATTGTGCACAAGCACTTTTTAATAAGTCCTGGAAATATAAACAGATAAAAATGTAAAAATAAACATAGTAAAATCTAAAGATTAAAAGTACTGATTTTACCTTAAATTGAGAATGGAAATGGGGAATGTGTCAAAAAGACAACAACCCGACCATAGAGCAGACAACAGCCGAAGGCCACCAATGGGTCTTCAATGCAACGAGAAACTCCTGCACCCGGAGGCGTCCTTCAGCTGTCCCCTAAACAAATATGTATACTAGTTCAGTGATAATGGACGTCATACTAAACTCCAAATTATACACAGGAAACTAAAATTAAAAATGATACAAGACTAACAAAGGCCAGAGGCTCCTGACTTGGGACAGGCGCAAAAATGCGGCGGGGTTTAACATGTTTTTGGAGATCTCAACCCTCCCCCTATACCTCTAGCCAATGTAGAAAAAACAAACGCACAACAGTACGCACAGTAAAACTCGGTATAAGAGAAGTCCGAGTCCGATGTCAGAATGGGAAACAAAAGAAAATAAAGATTATGACAATAATACATAAATAACAACAGACTACTAGCAGTTACTGACATGCCAGCTCCAGACCTCAATTAAACTGATTGAAAGATTATGTCTTCATCATATGAATATCAGGCATAATCCCTCCTGTTAGGGGTTTAGTATTATACCGTCATAAAATATATGAGAAGAATATAACCCGTGTCATGCCAACAAACATGACAACTGGTTTTAAAATAAATGTGTTTAATTCCGATGCAAAGACCCTATAAGTGAATCAATATTAAAGCCAAAATATGCAATCTTTAATGACCTGACAACAGTATCGTAGCTATATCCCTTCTTAATAAGTCTGTTTAAAGGTTTTGTTAGCTTTTGAGGTGAATACTGACATTTTTATGCTTTGTAAAGAATATTACCATAAAAGATTGGATGTGAAATACCCGAACGTATAAGATTTCTGCATGTTGAGTTATATTTAAGAATGATGTCCTTATACCGATGATAAAGTTTATTAAATGTTTTGACTAGTTTATGATATCGAAAACCCTGGTGTAATAATTTTTCAGTAATACATAAATTTCTCTCGCTAAAATCTAATACGTTGTTACATACACGAGTGAATCGTACAAGTTGAGATATATAAACACCATAAGATGGTGACAAGGGAACGTCACCATCTAAAAATGGATAGTTAACGATAGGAAATGAAAAATCATCTCTTTTATCATAAATTTTTGTATTAAGCTTCCCGTTAATGATATAGATATCAAGATCGAGGAAAGGACAATGGTCATTGTTAGTATTAGCTTTATTTAAAGTAAGTTCAACAGGATAAATTTCTTTAGTATACATACTGAAGTCGTCATTATTCAGAGCCAATATATCATCCAAATATCTAAAAGTATTGTTAAATTTTTTTATCAGATGTTGTTTCGATGGGTCTTTGCTGATTTTAGTCATAAATTGTAACTCATAACAATACAAAAACAGGTCCCCAATAAGTGGTGCACAGTTAGTCCCCATTGGAATTCCGATAACTTGACGATATACTGAATCTCCAAAGCAAACAAAAATGTTATCAAGTAAAAATTCAAGGGCAGATATTGTATCAAAGCATGTCCAATTGACATAGTTCTTTTGTTTGTTGCTTCTAAAAAATGACCTAAAAGAGTTTGAACATATTGCATTCCGACTTTTTAAATGCCCATTTAATTAGGTGTGTGAAATTTTTCTTAATAAGAATATGAGGCAAAGTGGTATATAGGGTAGAAAAATCAAAACTTTGAACAGACATGTCGTAACATGCACAAAAAGTGTTTCGTCGATACAAATAGTAAATCCATCGTACACAAATGATTTCCCCCCGATTTGTTTCTGACAAACGAAACTTCATATTTGTGTGCCCTGACGCAACTTTACAAACTTGCTTAAATAATTTGTTAAATCGCTATTTGGTAAAATTATGAAACAGAATGCTATTTACTCTGAAATATTTGCAATTAACTAACATGTATGTCTAGTCTTAAGCTATTACAGGATTTCTCATGATCACTGTATATTTATTTAGAATTCAATATGAAAAATATATAATTTTAATTTACAAATACAAAATGTAGAACAGGTTCAAAATTCATATTAACTATAGTCATATTTATTATGAATTATATTTATTTTACCTGTGTTACCTGTAAATTGAATGCGCGCAAAAGCTGCGCACAAACGTAAAAAAAAATATTCCCCAATGCACCCGTCCTTTAACATGCAGATTTTGGTAAAACCAAGAAAATCATTTTATTGATTAAATTAATTGAATTGAAACATATGACATTATACATGTATATATCAATTTATAGATTGTTTTCAATACATGTATATATGTACGTACATGTAATTTGAGTGTGAGTTTTTAAATTTGCCGCCATGTTTGAGGTTCATGTGCACAAATTAAGTCGTAAATCAACTCAATACTGACTATTGAACTGTTTTCTGAACAATTTTTATTTGTGTAAAGTTGAAACCTTGTATAGATAATTCTTTGCTGCTATCTAGTAAGATTTTTTTTACCACACTTGCATACATGCATGTTTACCAGATGTTTAAATTTAATTAGTCAATAAGAAAATCAACCAGTTTTCCCTCCAAAATGGCAGCCAAGGGATATAACTCAAGCTCAAATAACTTCAAATATGAACTCTCCATTTCTAATATATCCTTTTTCTTTTTTTTTCAGATCAAAAGTTTTAATAAAATGGTGAAATATTCAGATCAAAATCGCCATGGAAATATTATTTCCAAAATCAACAGAGCTAGAAATGAAGGACTTTATTGTGACATCACCTTGACCTCTGGAAACACATCTTTAAGTGCTCACAAACTTATCCTGACCTCGGTTTCAGACTATTTCACTAGCTTGTTCAAATATTCTGATGATGCTTGTCAGACCTGCAAATTAGATCCTAATGTTGTCACAGAAGAATGTCTAGAAGCCATTGTGGAGTACGCTTACACAGGAGATGTAGAAATCACTGACGAAAATGTCCAGGATTTGCTAGTAGCATCAAATTTTCTCCAGATTCTTTTCATAAGTATCAAATGTGAAGAGTATATTTCAGAACACTTAACATCTGAAAACGTTGTTTGTCTATTGTCTTTTTCAATACAACATAATTTGCCGAAGTTGTTTTCAAGTGTGTGCCACTATGTTTCAGAGAATTTTCTCAGTTTCACTTTACGAGACAATGTTTTGCTGAGCATCCCTTATGACGACTTATTATACTTATTGAAATGCGTTGATTTGACTGTTTTGGAGTGTGGCATACCAGCTGAGAAACCGGAGGTTCATATACTGAATTTGATAAGACTTTACTCTGAATTTTGCGAATTAAAAGCGGAAGAGGTTAAAACTTTACTTCAGGTGGTGAATTTTTCAGAGATCACTCAGTTTGATGCATATGATATGTTTGAATTATGGAGGAAAAAGCTAAATGGAGTTGAAGTGAAAACTGTAGTTGAACAGTTTCTTGTAAGAAATTATTTGAGTGGGGAGTTCAAACAAGAAGGTGAACCACAACTTTTCAATCAAATTTGTAGGAAATTTTCCTCCATGTGCAAACGAGTATTTTCCAACAATAGTCTGCGAAAAGGCTACAGTTATTTTGATAATTTATCTGTAAATGATAGAATCAGGAAGATTCGTATTTGGTTTGGTTACACACCGTCACAGCTAGCTGGCATATCAGTTTCCTACATGATCGGGGAAGAGAAGACCTATGGAAGTCGTAAAAATGTTCCAGTGGTGACCTCTGACCAAGACTTCTTCCTAAGAGAGAATGAGGTGATCGTGGAAGTCCACTTTTGTAAGACAGCTGTACGGGTCAGAAGTTTGAAGTTCATTTCCAATTTTGGAACACAGTATGGACCCTATGGGGAGGAGAGAGGGAGCATACGAAAAGTGAAAGCTCCATCACCAAATGCTTATCTTCATGGAATTAGAATGGAGAACAAATCGAAGGTCTTTGAAAATTCAGCTTTGGTTAGTTTGAATGCCCTGTACTTTGACTGGATTGTGTTTGTTGAACCAAGTAAAATACGAGACAACATTGAGGATGAAGACATTCAGCTTCAAACAACTAACTGTTGTTCTACAAATTACGAGCGTGCGGCTGACATATATGATAGTGATCCACGTTAAATCGTCTACTGTAAATTCAGAAATTATTGCGAGGTTTTTATTAATGTGAATAATGCGACAGGGCGAATATCGCAATAATAAGAACTCGCATTTTGATATCTGATACATATTTCTGTATGCATATTTTCCTGAAATCACAATAATTAATCTCGCATTTTTGTCCATCCTTCAAAAATTGCAATAATAAATGCAGGCAATAATTTCTGAATTTACAGTATATTGATAGATGAGAGTTATAGATAGGTGCAATTACTGGTATATATTATTGTAACATGCTACAACGATGAAAGAAAGGATAACCTGCTTTTTTCAAAATAAGTATTATGTTTTTATCATGTATCATGTGTATATTGTGATGATGAAAATGTTTTTAAATGGATTGTTTATCTTTTGTCAATTGGAAAATTGAAATATAATATTATCATGATTATGGCTACTTGCAATTGGGGAGGTAGTGTTTACTGGAAGTACAAAATATATGATAGAATTCTCTGATTTTTGTTTAAATTTGGCAAAGTAAAGATAGATATCTCCTGTTTGCATAAAAATTTCTGAATAGATGATAAAAAATCGAAATGATTAAAGTAACTCCCCTGATCATGCTCAGCCTGGTACATGTACATGCAGGCAGGTATTCAGTACTGCTAATACCATGTAATACTTTTACTTCTTTTTATTTATGTATAATGGATATGTGACATCTGATATACCCTGTTCTTGTTAAGAGCCATAACAAAACTGAACACCAAAATAACCCTACAACTTAACATGCTTAATGAACATGATGAATTTCATATTTCTTTAGATTTCTAAAAACTCTCTTGAATAATTTCATATGTCATTTGTATGTCCAACAAAAAGCAATTGTACATTTATCGTCATGATTGTGTTTTTATGTATTAAACATGTAAAGGTACATATAATGTATATGTATGTTATGTACAGTATATATATTTTGTCAGGTTCTATCATTCTTCATGCATAAAATATGTACTAGTAGTCCAGTGCAATCTTTAATCTAGTCAAAGGAGTAGGCCTGGTAAGACCCTTTTTTGGCCCCAAAATATAGCATTTCAAAAATTTGTTAAAGATGTAAACTGTAAGCTATTTATTGGAAAGAGGAATGTGTTACATAAATATGGGCTGTTTTTGACAATACAATGCACATGCATCAGTTTACTAATATCATTAATTCATGTAAAATTACTTAAATCTTCACAATTTCAGCATTTGTGCTTATTTTTAAGCGGTCTTTGTCTAAAATGGAAGTGGCCACACTTATGTTCAGTCTTAATATTTAAATATATCTTGTATTTGATGATGATACATAACATATATAAAGGTTGAGAATGAACACGAATGCGGCCACTTCCATATTAGACAAAAACCATCTGAAAAGTGACGTTTTGTGGCATATTTCATTATTTGATAGATTTTTTCATATTAAAGCTTGAATTAAGGCGTATTTAATGGCCAAATCAGTTCAAATCTTTTACAATAAATGATTGAAACGACAGAAGAAGACACTTAAGTATTTAAAAAATGTTAAAAATCTTTTATCAGATGTACTTCAAATTTTAGGCCAAAATAAGCCCTTACCAGACCTTCTCCTTTATATGATTTAAGTGAATCTCTAGTTTGTCTCTTTATTTATTATATTTTATTTATCATGTTTATTAAAATTTATTTGTTTTTTTTTTGTGTAGTACATTTAACATAATGTTTAATATTATTGTAATATATATGTTATTTGTTTTCAAACTTTTACTTCAACAATTTTGTTATATATGGATTTGCAGATTTATGGAGAATCAATTACATCATGTACATGTTGTTAGTTGAAAAACTTGTTTATGTCTTTTTAATTTTTCTTTGAAAGTGTTTGTTAACATTCAACTATTTGCATTTAATTTATAATTAATAGTAATTATTTAGAGTTGGTAACAAACATGACTAAGACATGTAAAAGGAAGTGAAGAAAGCAATATTGTCAGCTGAGTTGAGAAATATGTGGAGCTTTGACAATTATGTAATATTTTTTGAATATTTTTAGGTCTAGCTTGAAGTTTTGTTTCCCAGATACATTTACTTGTATGTGTACTTTGTGTAGAATAAGACTTGATCATACCCCTCCTTGAACAAGGGGTATACATTTATATATAAGTGATGGATCATGCAAATGTCTGTCTGTCACAATTTTGGTTTCTGGATGATAAGGTATCGCATGACCAAATTTTTGGATATTTAAACACACTTTCATGGACCATAAAATATAGATAATAGTTGGATTTGGATGCTTTTGACATTTAACATTCAAGAGTTATGGCCCTTATATACATATCACTGACACAGGTCATGTTTATTTAAAATTATTTGTCATTTCAACTCATCCATGGTGGAAGTGGACAAATATAGTTGGCAACATTTCTAGGAAATCCCCTGTACCTATCCTTAAGATTGATGGTTTTGACATTTACTATTCAAGAGTTATGTCCCTTAGTTACAATACAGCTTATGTGTGTTTTGTCATTTCAGTCAATCAACATACTGTTGGAGTTTGCAATTCTTCAAAAAAATCCCCTGTACATATCCTTTAGAGTGGACTTGCCATTTCTTTTCCTTCATCAAAAGAATTGAATATACTTTGATGCCTTTGACATTTACCATTCAAGAGTTATGTCCCTTTGTTACACTACAACTCATGTGTATTTTGTCATTTCAATCAATCAACATACTGTAATGACTGTCAGATTGAACATCCCATTTCTTTTCTTTCTTCGTACAAATTGAACCTACTTTCCAATTGGGAAAATTTGTTAATTAGATTTCAATATTTTTAAGACATATAAGGTAAAATTTAAGTGGGCAGAAGTAGGCTGCCAGGTAGAAACGACAAAATTGACATAAACTGTGTACCTAAAATCCTTATTTTCTTAATTTTTGGATGACAATTAAAGGGATGTTTACCTATTGTGAAATTTGAATGAAATTTCATGGACTATCAAATACATGTACAGTTCAACATGTTCAAGGTAGATTTTGACCATACAAGAGTTATTCCCCTTAAACTTATACTTTTAAAATTAGGATTTGTTTAGTTTCTAGATGATGATTAAAGTACCACATCAGCATGTCAAGTTCGATTTTGATGGGTTTTGCAATAAATATTATGATTTTGATGGGTTTTGCAATATATATTATGATTTTGATGGGTTTTGCAATATATATTATGATTTTGATGGGTTTTGCAATATATATTATGATTTTGATGGGTTTTGCAATATATATATATATGTATATAAGGGTCTGGATGAGGGGTCCTTCATTTTTGTATTCTTTAATTTTTTAGGCCATTTTTCTCTGTTCATGCTGTTCTTTATACTTTTTGCCCATTGTATTCTTTATATTTTAGGACCTCATTTTCCTTTATTCTTTTTATTTTTTACCCATTATTCTCTATTCTGTAACCCATCATCCACATCCTCATATATATATTATAAGTTATTCCCCTTAGCTACGTAAACATATTGATTATTTTTCCAAAGTGATATCATTTAACAAATCTTTTTAGATTTTATCACATTATTATGAAGTCAAGTTCTCTTTTGGCATTTACTGTTCAAGAGTTATGTCCCTTAATTATCTAAAAATAAATGGCAATGTCTTGGTTCAGGATAATAAAGTATCGATTGACAAAACCATAAACAATGAGCAAAACCCATGCTGTATAGTAATCTATAAAATGCCTGCCATTACAAAATTTACAGCTCTTCTATAAAAGCATGCAAAGCAAACCTTTGATCAACTTGCTTGCTATGTTTGTTTGGATGTTTGTAAACAAAAGGTAGGTAGTTTGTTTCAGTCTGTTTACTATATACTGGAATTTGATTGGACAATAAACATTAACTTCATTGTATGTCAGCTTTTATTGTCTAATCAAATTCCAGTATATACAAAACAGACTGAAACTCCGCCTACCTATTGTTTGCAAACATCCAATCAAACATAGCAAGCAAGTTGATCAAAGGTTTGCTTTGCATGCTTTTATAGAAGAGCTGTAAATAATTCAAATGAGAGAATCAGTGCCCTGATTTATGTACAAAACAATAAAAGAAAAAAAAAAATGATAGACATCATCCAACAAAAACCACTGAACTACCATGATTACAGGCTCCTGACTTTGGACAGGCACATACAGCATGTGGCCTTGTTAAACATGTTAATTGGCGCTCAACTCTCCACTAATTTGGACAGTGGTGTAAGTGTGAGTACAACATAAGAACAAACTGTCAAAAATCAGTTCAAAAAGAATTGATTCATCAGATATACACAAAAAACTTAACAGAAAGAGTATAGACACAAATTACCAATCTAAGAGTACTCACAGTTGCTAAAAGCTAGTTCACAGCCAGTAACATCAAATAAATAAATCGTGCTCAACACTGCGAGATCCTGACATACTCCAACCATAGTGAAAATCATTCTAGATTTTTTCCCAAAAAACTTGTTTCAGTGACAATTTGAAAATCAACAATATTTTTATACAGATATATATTTAGTTCTTTGAAGTATGATCTGACAGTAACTCTGTCATGACTCTTGTAATAATTAAAATAGTATTCCCATATTAAAATTGTGCATTTCTTTACTTTGTTCAACAAATATTCAAATTATATATATATCCTTATTTTTTTGGTGATACATCTGTTCTTGTATTGTTATGTTTATAAAGAGAAATTGAGATAATAAATGTAAGAGCTTGTGTTATAATATCCTTAATTATGTTTAGTTTACTTAATACAAGTCAAAGAAGCTTAAGAGTCTAAGACTTCATATGTGCCAGAATTAGTTATTCCTAGCCGTAGCATTTTGTTTCGGGTCAAATATGCTGTTATTGACTTCTCAGAATCTAAAGGACTAGAGGTAATCACATTGTTCTTAAACCCCCCCTTTTTTTTTGACGATCAATGCATTTGAATGGGGACATATAGTTGGAACCCCCCCCCCCCCCCTTTATCCTGGGTTAGGAACCCCCCCTTTTATAAATGGCTGGATCCGCTCCTGAAGTGCATGTAAGTAATCATAGGCAACAGTACAGCCTTCAGCAATGAGAAAAACCCATACAGTATAGTCGGCTTTAAAAGGCCCAAACATGAAAAATATGGAATAATTCAACTGAGAATACTAACGGCCTAAGATATAACAAAACAATTTACGAAAAACAAATATGACAGACATGAACCAGCGACAACCACTGAACTACAGGCTCCTGACTTGGGTCAGGCACATACAGAATGTGGCAGGGTTAAACATGTGTGTGAACTCTCAACCCTCCTCTTTACAGCACAACATAAGAACAAACTATAAAAATCAATTGAAGAGGGGTTAACTCATCAGGTCGATACAAAGCAGAAAAACATCTATAAACAAAAACAGACAGGACATGGCATGTATTTATACATCTCTTACAACAAAAGAGACACAAAGTACAGATCTGAGAGAGCCTGCAGTTACTGACAGCTAGTTCAAAGCCAATAACAACTCATAAAAAAAATCATATATCTAAGTCTAAAATATCAATCCGTACACATCAAATGTTGTTTCACCTCACAAACCATATTATTCATGTTAATTGTGTAAATTTTCTGTTAGCTTTTGTAATTTTGCAAATTTCCAAGAAGTCCAGCAGAAATTTGAGACTATGTCATTAATTTTCACAAATATGCACAGAATATCTGTCAAAATTTGATGGTTCGGATGTATTTCATGACATTTAAAATTATGTTTAATTTACTCATTATCTCAATCACACTGTTATTCTGTTTTTTTTTTTGTGTATTTTTCAAGTTGTTTTTGGTATTTTGTAACAAAAGTGGACCTGAATGCTTTAACTCCTTTTGCTATTTCAGTTTGTGTGTTTGTCCTTCGACCTTGCATGTGGTGTAAATTGAATTACCCTTATTATTTTCTTTTCCCTTTATGTCGAGCCTGCATCATTTATATCCCAAAAGGAAGACAAAGTGATCCTAGATTCTGGCGTTGTCAACATAAAGGTTTAATCTGTGGTTCCAATTTTTTTTTTTAAGACATCAATAACTTTGTCAAACCTTCACGTAATTTGGACAGAAGCTTGTTAAGTATGACCAAAACACAGTATCCAGAGTAAAAATTTGAAAATACTCATTTTCATTTTTCTGTATTTTACTGATAAATGGACTAGATTTTTGTCTCGCCTTGATGGAGTCAAAAAGCGAGACATGGGTATGCTGTTTCCGGCGACGATGACGATATTTGGTATGCAGTTGTATAAGCATTGGCACATCTCATTACCATGGAGATTATTTGGCCCTGCCCCCTCAGTCAAGGTCTATTGACTTTGAAGCTTTGCTTAGTTTACATGTATTAGTTTGTAATTATGTCAGTTTTCTAGTGGTAGGTCAATGATATTTGGTATGCAGTTGTATAAGCATTGGCATATCTCATTTCCATGGAGATTATTTGGCCCCGCCTCCTCATTCATGGTCTATTGACTTTGAAACTTTTGCTTAGTTTTCATGTATTAGTTTGTGATTAGGTCAGTTTAAGGGGAACCGTTAGTGGTAGGTCAATGATAATTGGTATGCAGTTGTATAAGCATTAGCACATCTCATTTCCATGGAGAATATTTGGTCCTTACCCCTCAGTCATGGTCTATTGACTTTGAAACTTTTGCTTAGTTTACATGTATAAGTTTGTGATTAGGTCAGTTTAAGATGAACCACTAATGTTAAGTCAATGATATTGGGTATGCAAATGTATTGGCATTTGCAAGTTTCATTTCCATGGAGATTATATAACCCCACCCCCTAATTATGGTTCATTGACTTTGAAACTTTTACATAGTTTACAAGTTTAGGTTTGTTTAAAGCTAAGGGAAAGACTTATGAAAAGTCAATGGTATTTGGTTTGCAGTTGTTTTAGCATTGGCACATCTCATTTCCATGGAGATTGTTTAGCCCTGTACCTTCAGTCATGGTTCATTGACTTTGAATATTTGCATAACTTACATGTTAAAGTATTGCTATTTTAATTTCAACATTTGCATTATCAAAATAACAAATAGGCGAGACATATCTCTGTGTTAACAGTTTATTTAACAGTTAACATTCAGATTCAGTCTAAGGTTAAAGTTTTTTCTAGAAGGTGGCCACTAACTTGAAGAAGAAGCACAGGCACTTGTCTCAGAAAAAAAATTCCTATATACCTTAATGTTATATTAAGGTATATAGGAATTTTTTTTTCTGAGACAAGTGCCTGTGAGAAGAAGAGTCATGAAACAGCACATACCAGTAATTTGAAAATCTAGAAAAATGTTTGCCTATAATCCATATAATGTTATTTCTAAAATAAGAAGGAAAAACAAATTCTGTCAAGAAAAACAAGTGAAACTGTGAGCTTCTGCTCACTGATGATACCCCCGCCCAAATATTTCGGTAAACAGGAAGTTGTTGAGTGATGAATCTGAAAACGCATCACACGGTATAGCTGACTCATATAAACCCTGAAACCAAATTTCAGAAATCTTTGTAATGTAGTTCCTGAGACTAATGCAATGGAAAATATTCATGGGACGGATGGATGGACAGACAGAGGTAAAACAGTATACCCCCACTTTTTTAAAGCGGGGGTATATTTTAAAGAGGGGGTATAAAAATCCTAACAAACTGTACATATACAAAAATAATGAAGATCCAAAATATGATCCATCTACTAAGTTACAAGCTTCACCACTAAAGCATACATTGATGACTCATTTCCAATATCAGATTGGTAAATGTCTCTTGTCTTAACCTTATATGTAACTCTAACCCTAAGTTTGTTACCTGGGAATTTATAAATTAGGAATAACTTGAATAAACATTTGTTTTTGTAAAAAAAAAACAATGCATATGCTGAAATGTCTCGCCTGCATGCTTTACTGGCAAATGATTGATTTTATGTTGATAGTCTTAAAGATAAAGTTTTATTGCAAGTATCACATAAACTAGACACCATCAATAATCCATGACAATGAGGTCATGGTCAAATGAACTAAGCCAGACATACATGTACACCTTACAAGCATTCAATACACCAAATATACTTGGCATATTGCTTATATTATACAAGACACAGACCAAACCATTAAAACGTTGAACAGTTAACAATGAACCAAGAAAATGAAGTTCAGGTCAGATGATACATGCCAGACAGACAGACATGTACACCTTACAATCAATACATGCACCAAATATAATTGACCTATTGCTTAAAACTATATATCTAAGAACCAAACTTAACCAAGTAAACTTAACATTGACCAATGAACCATGAAAATTAGGTCCAGGTCTGATGATACATATCAGACCGACATGTATACCCTGCAATCATTCCATACACCACATATAGTTGACCTGCTGTTTATAGTATCTGAGAAACTTGACCTTTTCACATAACTTTAACCTGGATCACTGATCCATGAAATGAGGTTGAGATCAGGTGAACACTCTGACAGACATGTAAACCATGCAGGGAACCTATAAACTGTGGATTCATTATTTTTCGTGGGATACCAATTTTCGTGGATTTCATGGGTAAATAGGAACCACAAATTTCAATGTTCAATGAAGTACAAATTTGTTATAGGCTTTTATGCAGACTTAACAAAACCACGAAAATACATTTTTTCCTCAATCCACGAAAATTGATACCCACGAAAATAAATGAATCCACAGTACGAAATATAGTTATCCTATTACTCATAAGTGAGAAATTCACATGACAAAAATTGTGAAATTTCTTTATGCAGTTGCTGAACCATGAAAATGAGGTTAAAGACAAGAGAGATATAACCGACATAAACACAAGGTATAAAGCCTACCTTCTGAAATATAAAGCTTAATACAAATACTTTACACTGCCGTCACCAGATTGTAATCCTTATGTCTCGCATTTTGTGACTTTCTTTGCAGGCAAGGCAAAAATGTAGTGGGAGCCTCAACTCAGTTCATTCTGCAAACTCCCTATAGATAAGAATATTGAGCAATATAGGTGACAAGAAAAAAAGATCCCTAATACTTGACCAAATATGAATGTTTGAAATGAAAACAGGTTTTTTCCAGGACAAAGAGTAGACAAGACTGTTACCAACAGGGACAACACAGACATTTGAAAAATAAAACTGCACAAAATGTGTTATCGAAAAGTAAACCAAATGCAATATAACCCCCACAGAAAAAGAGGTACCGGTAATTCAGGTTCTATAGAAGAGTTATCAGTTCCAACTACTCTGGTAATATTGTGCATGGCAAGTATAAATCTAGTGAAAAGTCTTTTTCAGAGATGATACAATCTAGAACTAGAAGCTTCAAAGAGCCTGAGTTGTTCATCTAGATATATGGGCATTTTCAACATTGCAGACTATAATTTCTGACTAAGATATCTTTTATGTTGACTGTACTGCTGATATTTTTTTCTGTTTTTTGACTTGGTATCTACTCTCTAGATCTACACTAAATTTTGTCCCAACATATAAAAACGGTAAAAATCATCAACTAAGAATCTGGGCAATGTTGATTTCATATTTGTAGATCTTGTCTTGCTCATCATTTTTGCAGTTTACAAATTTCCTTTATCTACTATAGTTTTGGCAAAAAATGCAAATATGGATAAAAGACATCATTTAGGGAAAATAACTTGTATAAGGATATTTTGGGAATGCAGACATATTTGTAACTTTTTGTCCCGCTGATCATTTTGGCTTTTTAATAGTTTGTCTTTATCTCTAATTGTTTAAGGATAAAAGGAAAAAAAACGCAAAAAAAATGGTAAAAATCATCATTTAAGGGCAATACATGTACCCAGTAACTGCTTTAAGAAGTTGAGTGACAATTTTGAACAAGTTATCTAATTTGAAGATTTTGTCTTGCTGATCATTTTTTATATTTAAAGTTTCTCTCTGTCTGTTATAGTTTCGTGTCTGACAGGTTTGGTGTAAAAGGACAGAAAATAGATGTCAGATCTATATAGGTTTTCAGGGTAATAGACAAAACATGCATTTTCTAGCTATGTTCTATTTTTAGCCATGTCAGCTATGTTGGTAAGCAGGAAGGATCATCATCATATTTTTTTTTAAACACGATACCCCAATTATGAGTGTGGTCATATTTGGTTTCAATTGGCCTGAAAGTTTCAGGAGAAAAGTTAACAAAATATGACGATAGTTGACATCAAATAGAAAAGTTCCTGTACATTACTCCCGAGTATAATTTTATGTAAATAAAATGAATCTGAAGTTATTATTTACATATATAATTTATTAAACTATTTTTTTTAATTAAATATTAATCCACAGCACCATCACTATTGTCAAGGTCAAGGTCTTCATCATCTTCAATGTCAAGGTCATCCATATCTTGAAACAGTGATTCATCAACTTCTACATCTGCATCCTCTGTAAACAAAAAGAAATCCATTTAAATTTGAAGGAAACTAGACATCATTGAGTTGGGAGCCATCTCTGTGGGCCCCGCGACATTGAACTTTGACCTAGGAAGTTGTACAAACATTATGACACACCCTCAGGTATTGGTTAATATACATGTCAAGTATAAGGTATGAAATTATAATGGTTCTCTAGATATAGAGCGGACACAATTTGTAATGGGCGGACGGACTGACTGATCACTTTAGGGCAACCCGCCACTAGGCGGCGCCCTAATAACTGTGAATTCCTCATTTTTTTCATGAGTTTTGATTTTTGTGGATTTCTTGGGTAATGGTTATCCACAAATTTATTTGTTCAACGAAATACAAATTGTAAATTATTAACTTATATGTAGAATTTGGTTGAAACAACAAAATCACGTATCCACTGAAACAAAACTTTTCCTCAAACCACCAAAACTGTTATCCATGAAGAAAAAATGAAAAAAAAAAAGATGACAGTAATAAAGAAAGTTGAATCCAAACAACAAGAATTACTTAAAATTTATAATAGACAAATTGTATAATTCCCAGAAGTACTAAAATATAGTCAGACAGGTTATTTGAGAAAATGACTTCTCATTTATATTCTTTCATCATTATAGCTGATCACAATCTTAAGGATGTACTTTGGTCAGGTTTAGGAATTTGTGTCAGATGTTCGGACTCCTTGGTTTTTTCCCTACGATACACGGTAAAATATTTTGCCCCATACCCTGTTTTTTCTTTTCATATAAGACTTCAATAGCTCATAAAAGGTCATTTACCAAAATTTAAGCAGATTCTAAATTTCTTTTCTTTCGTTGTGAGACCCAAATAATACCAATGCAAATATAAGATAAAAGTTAGAATCAGCCTTTTCCCACCATTTTTTTAAATTAAATATCTCGAAAGGAGCTCCATAACCTATCAATATTTTTAGCTTATTTTGTTCCTTAACTAATGCTATTCTGACTTATAGTATCAATTTTAAATTCTAGATTTTTTTAATTTCACCTAAATACATACATCCTTAAGTCTGATAATGAAATTTTCAGGATGCTATTATAAGTAGTATGTTTCATTCAAATGTCTTGATGAAATTCCTAATGAAAAATGGAGATAATCAGGCATAATATATCAGCAAGCCCTACTTTAAAAATGGTTGTTCACACAAGCTACTTTTATTAGGACTGACACAAAATATGAATAAAAGAAGACGTGGACAGTATGTCAATAAGCCAGAAATGTCTTAAAACATTAGAAATTCATAATCTAAATTGATGCATTGAGTATTTATAGCACTTTCTCAAATATATATTGATTGGATAAGTGAACATACCTGACTGTAAAAATATCATATCTGATTCATCCAACTTGGCATCCTGCATGAACATTTCTTTGCCTGCATATAAGAAAATGTTAGTGTTATTAACTTGAATTCATGATAAGAACATGTTAACCATATTTTCTAATCATTCTTTCTTTCAAATAATACTTGTTTTGTTTTAAAAAATGGGAAAAATGTTACTTCTCCAATGGCAGGTAGTAATATACATAGATATATGCATCACTGTCATTTCTACAAAGAATGGTGAATGCCTCCAAATATATTTTTCATTTGAAAAATTTCGTCCAGATGATCAACCTCCTTAGGATGAGAGTAAATCTTCTCCTTTGGATAAATTCTCCCTAATAATCTCCCCTTTGGATAAATTCTCCCTAATAATCTCCCCTTTAGATAAATTCTCCCTAATAATCTCCCCTTTGGATAAAAAATATACCCTCCAATTCGCAATCTATTGTACCTGTTGGTAGACTTTAAGTACTTGTTCATCATGTAAGACCATGTAAATTTTCTTGTTAAAAAAATTGTTAATCTCACACACAACATTGATTATCCATCATGTCCATGCTATCTAACATGTTTTAGGGGCCTCAGTGGCCGAGTGGTCTAAGTAGTTACTACTGTAATCACTAGCCAGTCAACACTGAGGTTGTGAGTTCGAACCCCGCTCGTGCGGGTGCACTCGACTCCAATCTTAATTGACTTGGATTGTCAGTTTTCCTATCGAAGGTCGGTGGTTTTCTCCGGGCACACCAGCTTCCTCCACCAATAAAAACTGGCCGCCACGAAATAGCCCAAAAGCGGTGCTTAAAAGTGGCGTTAAAACACCAAAAATCAATCAAAAAATCAATCTAACATGTTTTAGCTAATTCATGAATAGTTGAATTCAATGGAAATTGTGGAATATTGATCATATATATAGTAAGACAAGTTCAAGAAAACCTTCCTATTAGAAAGATTTCCTCTGGTAAATGTCTCTTCTTTTGAAGGTTTGAAAAATTGACACTTTAATAAAGGCATTTATTTTCATATTTCTACTGAATATATATATACAATAACAGCTGATAAATGTAACAAGTAAAACACCAGTACTTTTTTTAAAACAATAACAATAAAATGTTTTATAATGTAAATTCAGAAATTATTGCAAGGTTTTAATTAATGCAAATAATGTGACTGGGTGACTACCGCAATAATAAGAACTTGCATTCTGATATCCGTTACATATATCTGTATGCAGATTTTCCTGATATCGCAATTATCAATCTTGCATTTTTGTCGATTCTTGAAAAATCGCAAAAATAAATGCAAGCAATAATTTCTGAATTTACAATATTCAGGAATCTTTCAGAAATTTTATTTACTTCTGAAAATGTCAATTTGTTAAAAATAAAGAGTTGTCTCCCTTGTCACACACTATTTGTAAATAAAAGAAAAAGACTGCTGCTACAAAGTAAAAAACACTGTGGTGATTCCTGTCATTGCTTGTTAACAAATGGCAAAAGAAAAATGTTGAAGGTAGAAAGTCAAAATTAAGGTAAAATCTGTGTCAGAACATTTAAAAATATTTTGAAAAGGTTGTAAGTAGGGAGGTCGCCAATGCGGTTATTGTAACGTTAATGATTTCCTTGCGATGCAATGCAATAAAACAATTGCCATTTAATACATGAATCATTTTTACAGGATTTTTAAAATACTAATATCAGAAAATGTAAATCACATGGATATAGCAATATATAGAAAATTATCGTTTTATTTGTGCAGTCAAACCTGCTATTAAGGTCACCTCGATAAAGGAAAAATCTCTCTTGTAAGGGCAACCTCGATAAAGGGAAAACCTTTCTTGTAAGGGCAACCTCGATTAAGGAAAAACCTTTCTTGTAAGGGCAACCTCGATAAAGGGAAAACCTGTCTTGTAAGGGCAACCTCTCTCTGTCCCAAGCATTTTGAACCTCATTCCAAGCCACCTCTCTTATAAAGTCTGTTTTTCCTTGTCCTGAGGGTGACTTTTATATACAGGTTTGACTGTCATTTCATGTATATCTAAAATAAGATTACCAGATAATCCTTTTGGTTCTGGATTCTCTTTTATGTGCTGTGCTTTCAGTTCATTGACCTCAGCTTCAAACTTCAGCTTCCAAGCTAAAAATGTTTCAACTGAAACTTTTGTGCCTTCAAACCTTTTCTGAAAGAAGTAAAATAAATGACTGCAATTAACCCAATCAAGAAATGGTGATTTGCATGAATTGGATGTACTTATTGGTCTAGACATAATCACATGATCAATCGCCATCACCAGGATGCTGATGTGCAACACAATTTTTGAGGATGGAAGTTGATTTTGTTAATTGATCCATTAAGACAAGTTTCACTGCAGTACATAAATATTTCCTTTTGATCACTGAATTCACTCAAACTCTTCAATTAAATTTAAAACATACAAACATTTTACATAAATCATAAAACTTCCATAGGAGACAATAAACAATACATGAAATTGTTATAAAGTATCACCCTTTTGTGCCCAACTTAGGATTAGACGCCATCTAAATAACCATTGAGATGACCTTTGAAGACTGTCTATGGTCATGCGACCCAATTTAAACATAAGTATAAATATAAATAGACAGACAAGCACATCCAACAGTATTATGACCATTATTCTGGGTCTGTATGATTTCATAGATTAAAAAATATGTAAATCATCATTAAATGATGAATGACTTTTTGTGGACCGAAACAGTCAACAGTATAATTCTTCCTGATGGCACACTTGTTTCATTTTTCAATTTCGACATTCTTTTATTTCGAATACTGAACATGCTGAGCACATGTGCAACCAGTATCCAACTAAGGGTCAAATTCAAAGTTGCATGCATACAGACCTAAATGAGGTCAAATAATTATCTTAAAATTATACTAAATTTGTTTGTCTAAATTATAGATTATGTCCCTTTAAAGATGTGAATTTCAAACCCAGCTTGTGGCAAGGTGGGTTCAACTACATATTGATCTTAATTGACTAGTTTTCCTGTAGAAAGTAGTGGTTCTTACCAGGATACTATGATATCCTTCACCAATAAGATCTAGCTGCCATGATATAGCAAAGAGTGCTGATGAATGTGACTTTCAGCACCAACAATCAATTAATTCAGTATTACAAATTACCTGTTCAGCTTCCTCTTTTTCTCTGAATACTCTTTCTTTTTCTTCCTGCTCTTGCCTTTTTCTATCTTCAATAATCACAGCTATCTTTTCCTGAAGTGCTGATACAATGGTAAATACCATTGCCATTCCAAGATTCTCTGAAATCTGTATAACATAAAAGATTTTAATTCATTCTTAAATTAACTTTATATTAGCATGATTAGGGTACAGCAGGGATCTCCATGGATGAAAATTTAACGATGGAGGAACTTTCACCATGACAAAACCCTGTGTCTACGGCATGGCGTCATCAAAATTATTTCATTCCTTCATTTTCCATGTAAGGAATGGCGAACAGGCTGATATTGCTTTTTATATTTATATAGAATAACCAACATTTTCATTAATTGTCATTTGTAACAATTCCAATGCAAAGCCTGTATGGCTCCCCCTTAATGAGAATGACCACAAGCTGTCCTAAAGGTTCCCACATCTTTTTCTTGCTGTTTTGGTAATTGTATAGCCCATAGGGCTTAAAAATAGGGGGGATCTTTAGTCACTGTCAAATTCAGAAGTCATGAACCGGTATCGACGATTTGCAGCATCAACAACAAGAAGTTTCGTACCCGTTTTGTAAAACGCTGAACAAAGATTTGGAGGGCAAACGTTTACAACTAAAAAGGTTTTAATGACTTTAAACAGCAAATTTCATAGTAATATACTATGCAACATATGCATGCATCTTTCGATTCTGAACATGCTGAATGTAAACTGGAAAACCAGATGTATGAATTTGACTGTAAACTACGAAATGAATTTGGAATTACGGTACGGATTTCTTCAGATTATCAAGTTGCAGTTAATATTCATGTATTTACTTTTAAACTTGTAAAGTGATTCAATATTATCGATAATTTATGTACACGTGTTATTTGGGATGAAATTATGTCCTGTTTTACATCTTATTTTGTACTCATTTAAAAAGTGCGACGCTACAATTTTTTCTGTGACGCTATAATTATTTTGAGGATGATATTTTTTCTCGTCGCTATACATTGCCGCAAAATCGATGTCCTAATTTTTGAACTTTCATCTAATTACCGCTTGTGATCATAAAAATTATATCACCTTTAATTGTATCCCTTTAAGTCGGACAATAGAGGCAATTAAGAGTGATTAAATAGGTGTTTGTTAAATATATCCATCTTTTTGATAAGAAACAACTGGGACTAATACACACAGGAAACAATGAATTTCATAAACATGATAAACAGAATAGTTTTTTAATTGAAATTTTATTACTATCATGACAATATGATACTTTCTTTTCCTTTTCGATATAAAAAGTTCTTTTTTGTACTAGATATTTAGTAAATAGTTTCTGACAAGAGGAAAAATATAATTCTGTAACTATAAATGAATATTGAAGACATAAACTGAAACAACTGTTATACTTTAATTGTATTCTAAGTTAAGAATTGAACAATATAAACATTACTTAAGGAAATAGAGCATCGCTGTGACGCAACAAATGACATTGAAAAAAAATACAATTTATTTTTTTACTTCAAATGTGATGCTATCCAAAATTTCTGGGGAGAATACTGTATATGTTTAATTTTTACTTGTATTGGTCAAGCAAACTTCATGTAAAAGACTGTTGGGACATTTGGTCAGACAGCTGCAGCAATTCATCTGACTGACCAAAAATCTGTTGAACCAAAATATTTTGGATGAAATCTGGCAGTAAAATCCAGAAAAATTAGCAGTTTTCCATTAAACCAGTTATAACATGTCTATTTCTAACTATTCATCTGGTAATAATTATATATAAGTGCATGCTCAGTAGAAATAAACACAAAATTTACAAAGCCTTGACAAAAAACTGTCAGGCTTTAGTTTAAACAGTATTTATTATTGAAAAACTATAACAATAAAATAGTACAATTTTATATGCATGATCATATAGCAGTCAAATATGGGTTTCGGAAACAAGTTTAGAAAAAAATTTATAAATCTGTCTCCCCTCAAGGCTTTACTGGGCCACATCTTTTAAAAAAATTTAAGAGACATTCTCAATAGGTGCATTCCTGTATTTAAAACTGCAGGAAACATTAAATTTAATGCATTCTACCTGATCATTTATAAGATCATTCAGGATATCTTCATGTTCATCATCCAAGTTATCCAGATCAGTGATTTCAAACACAGGGGCTTCATCAGGATAATTCTCAACATACTGAAACTTTACAGTACAACTTGCTGTAATAGATAAAAATCTAACATTTAATTTATTGTTCAAATGAAGGTAAATATAAGTAAATAAACAAACTGCTCCATGTATAAAATAAACTGTTATCACAGAGATATGTCTCGCCTTTTTGTAATTTTGATAATGCAAATGTTGAAATTAAAATAGCAATACTTTAACATGTAAGTAATGCAAATATTCAAAGTCGATGAACCATGACTGAAGGTACACGGCTAAACAATCTCCATGGAATGAGATGTGCCAATACTAATACAACTGCATACCAAATACCATTGACTTATTATAAGTCATTCCCTTTAAACAAACCTAAACACAAACATTAACTTGTAAACTATGTAAAAGTTTAAAAGTCAATGAACCATGATCAGGGGTGGGGCTATATAATCTCCATGGAAACGATACTTGCAAATGCCAATAAATTTGCATACCAAATATCATTGACTTAACATTAGCAGTTCATCTTAAACTGATCTAATCACAAACTAATACATGTAAACTAAGCAAAAGTTTCAAAGTAAATAGACCATGACGGAGGGGGCGGGGCCAAATATTCTCCGTGGAAATGAGATGTGCTAATGCTTATACAACTGAACACCAATTAACATTGGCCTACCACTAATGGTTCCCCTTGAACTGACCTAATCACAAACTAATACATGTTAACTTAGCAAAATTTTCAAAGTCTATAGACCATGACTAAGGGAGCGGAGCCAAATAATCTCCATGGAAATGAGATATGCCAATGCTTATACAACTGCACACCAAATATTATTGACCTACCACTAGTGGTTCCCCATAAATTGACCTAAGCACAAACTAATACATGTAAACTATGAAAAGTTTCAAAGTCAATAGACCTTGACTGAGGGGCGGGGCAAAATAATCTCCAAGGTAATGAGATGTGCCAATGCTAATACAACTGCATACCAAATATCATTGACCTACCACTAGTGGTTCACCATGAACTAGACCTAATCACAAACTAATACATTGTTAACGCCATCGCCGTCGCCGACGCCGGAAACAGCATACCTATGTCTCGCTTTTTGACTCTGTCAAGGCGAGACAAAAATGTACACTTTTTTACTTAAAAATAAAAAATATCTATAAACATGCATAATAAACAATTAATATATATATAGTTTCATCAGATTACTGACACCAGTCAGGGATATAACTCTATAGGGTTATTAGAGAAAATATCTTGCATGTGTTATTTCCTTTCATGAGTTGTCTACTCTTTATTCCTTAAATTTTCTAAATCTGTAGTAACTAACATATGTTTGTTATTTGTTAAATAAATCACAAATATTTCAATTTTTAGTGGGCACTTGGGATTTCTTGAAACTTTGCGCAGAAACTAAATACATAGCCTTGATAACTATTTTTCGCATTAAATTAATACATTTTTCATCAACCATGGTAAATCAATGAGACAAGGCTTTTAAGGAATAAACTTAGCTGTAATAACAAGGCTTAGTTATTAAAGGCATGTAACTTATTATATGAGACACTTGGGAATTACTGGGAAGCTTGCGCAGAACCTCATTGCATGCTCTGATCATTATTTCTTACAATAAATTAAAATACATTGTGATTAAGCATGATGTATGTCTGAGCAAAGACTTTGAAGTGATGTAGAGAAGCTGTAATAACACCCTTTAGTTATTACAGGCATATTTTTTCTGTAATTACATAGGTGTGCTATGCATGATTGACAAATATGAACTGTTATATCTTTCTATAGTTTAGTATACATAAAGACAATAATAATATCAATAGAACTTGTATACATTTTAACAAAACAAATGTATATTGGCCCTTTGAAACATGTAACATACATATGTTATCACAGTTCTTTGATTTTTTAGTCCACAATAACAAATGTATGTTATTTTTCTCTAATAACCCTATAGAGTTATAACCTTGACTGGAAACTGGAAAATGGGTTTCTAGCTAGCTAGCCTATAAAAAAGAAGATGTGGTATGATTGCCAATGAGACAACTCTCCACAAGAGACCAAATGACACAGAAATTAACAACTATAGGTCACTAGACTCTCTGACATGTCTGAAATTTACATAAAATATTAATATCCCTATAGAAAAATATCCCCAAATTTTATCCATTTTTTTATTGATGCTTTACAAACAATGACTGGTCAGAAGGACATAGCTGTAGCTGAGGGTCTGGATAAGAATCCCCATCTCTGTAGGTGTAATACCACCAAATCATAGTACATCACATCCGCTTGCATACAAAAAAGGTTTGAAAAAAAATATTCCCTTGAATTTGACAGCTGTAGGAAATTAATCCTACATTTCATTGCAGTATAAAATTTCTGAGTCATAAACATATATCTTGGGTGTTTCAAAGCACCATTCTTTTTTTATTTGGTATTTCTATAGAAAATGTTGGATACTTGAGGTTACATGGTTACTAAAGCTTGTACACAGGAAAAAAAAAGGGGTGAAAATTTGATTGGTTAATTTCCAGTGATGGTTATTATCTTATATGCAATGAAATGTTATGTGAAATTTTGTCTGTAGTACTGGACAGGAGAAAACTTTACTCATGCCAAGTATTTCTTTATTTGAAACAAAGATAAATTCTGAACAATTTTTTGAAAAGTGCAAATTTAACAAAATCTAATAAAGGGAAAAACAATGGTGGTATTACATCTGTACGTGTATTCTTTAGTTTTTGGCAATTTTTTGCTATTCATTATTTTTTGCTTGTTTTGCTCTATCATTTGTCTATTCTTATATTTCAGCACCCAATAATTCCATATTCTTTATTTTTTTCAATTGTTTTCTGTTCTTCAAGTCTTTCTCCATGTTCTCTATGCTGATTTTGACATGGACAGATGTGGTTGGCTTTATATTTAGTCAACATTTTACACCTTTCCATGAGTATTTCTAGTATCTAAAATGTTTTTCTCAAAAGTTGTAACAGCTGGGTGTTAATATTCAAAAAAAAAAAGGATTTTTACAATAGGCAGTTTAATAATTTGGAGTCAGGTTGAAATAAGAGGGTTGCCATCTGCCTTGACTACCACGTATTAACATGACTAACCAGAAACATTTTCTTTGTCTTATGACTTATAAATCGTGTACATTTTGTAACAACATTTTCTTCATTCATACCACTAACCTGTCTCGTCTGTTTCTTCAAATTCTGTAGGTTTGATTATGACATTAAATATGTGAAATGGATCTGTTTGCAGCACTGAAATCATAATACATATGTATTCATAACTATATATATTTATTGTTATCTGAAAGGGTGAAAAATTGTCTATCAATTTAAATAATTTCAGTGCAATTTTCATCCATACGTTTTAAGCAATGATAAATAACAAGTATGGTAAACCCTTTTCCGGAGTACTTTAATTCCACATTGGAAAAGGGATGACAGTCGCCTGAGTTGCTTCCTACAATATATCACAATTCTTTCCTGAAATTGCAAAAATATTAAATTATTCTTGTCTTCCAAAATCTTGTCAAATCTGATGTGTAAAATATTTGACTTCCCTTCTAAAAAAAACTACTAAAGTCATACTTCACCGACTTGGTAAGGTGTTAATCATAATAATCATGCATGCATCAGTCAGGGGACTTACTTAAATGAGTGATTTTCTAAATCACTGATTCAAGTATCATTATGTCCATAAAGGTTGGAAGTAAGAGTTGTCTTTCTTTAATAATCACCTATTTAAGTAGTACAAATTAATCACTAGACTAAGTGATTTAATTTTATTGTAGCTTTAAATATAGAATACTAATGATCCAGGGACTAATTATGTTGCTAAAATTATCAGAACCAACATCTGTGTTGATAGGATGACCGCGTCATGTCAGGTGATGACCTTGTACTAAATCTAGGACAATGACATAAAAATCACTTGTTTAAGTATCATACCTCAATTTCCTTTCAAAAAATCACTTCTTTAAGTATCATTATTTTAATAACCCCCTCTAATTTCAACACCCCTGAACAGTGAAATTTTGATCGCGAACAGTAGAATTTTATTACATAATCTATTAGATGAAACCTTGAATTTTACAGGAAAAATACTCCCACTGCTGGGAAAAATCTGTTAAGAAAGTATCAGTTCATTATGTCAAGCCATTTTTATAGCATTTTTTCAACTAAAATAGAATTTGCAGCTAAATGATTGCATCAAAGGCATAAACCTTGCTGCTTAAAAGAAGCAAAAGTTAATGTTTTTCAATTTTACTAATGAAAAGATATTATCTAAACCTACGTGTTTAAAATTTTGGTAAAACTACAAAATCACAATTTGCGACAAAACTTCGAATTTGCTACTTAAATAAGTGATTTAAAAATCACTTATTTCAATAAGTCCCCTGACTGTGCATTTTTTTTTGTGGCAAGACAAATACTAAAACATTCAACTTTGATTATGACACTCCAATTTTTACTCCTGATTTGGGGGAATTCCTAGTCTGGAGCCATTTTTATGGCCTAATCAAAAAAATTCTCCAGACTGAGAAATTATCCCAAAAGGGATTGACTCCAACTAAGTCCAAGATAACTTGGTTTAGGTTCGTTCAGCCACCTACCAGTGTTTCCCATTAATAAGTTTGACCTCATTGTTTTGTCTTAACATGACACAGATTTATAAGAAGATGTGCATTAAATGGTTTGAGAGCTTAGTCTAGTTTAGAAAATGTGAAATGTAAGAAAGCTTGTAACATCCATCTTGAAAATGTGTTTAAATTCTGTAAATGTACTGTCAAGAAAGTATGTCTTATGAAAATTAAATACTAAGTTATGTACAATCAGCCAACGTTTACTAAATGTTCCATCAACTTTTTAAAAATGTTGGTGAAGAATGTTTGCTTTTTTCCCTAATCATGATTATAAACCTTCAATTTCATCTGGGTATATTGACTCGAGAGCCTCTATTTCATTGACTTGATCTTCCTTGTGATCTGTCATCGTGGAATTTTATTCATCTTCAAAAAGAAAAGCTTGTATATGATGTAGTTTCAGATGCTGTCAGTTTTCTTCTATCCCCAAATTTCCTAACACATGTAAATTCAATGTATATTTAAATTTTGATCAGATTCGATATTCTTCTGTACATTTAAACGTCAATTTGATTCAGGAATAAAAAATTACTTCCGGTAGAGGTGTTTACCGAAAATCTATTTATTGGAAGCAAGAATTATTATTGTTCTATTTACCAGATCAGATTATCTATTCAATTTCAAAGCTATGTCTCGGCAAGGGACACGAGGAGTTGATCCTCGTAAAGTTGTAAGACTATTTATCAAATAGAAAAATTGCACAGACAATGACAGAGAACTAAAAAAATGTGTAATGCCATGTCTAATGAATAAAAAAAATAATATCGGGGAAGATCATCATAAATGGGTATCATCCCCATTAAAGTCATATGAAACGTGTTTCTAGTTATTATATTGTTAAGGAAATAGTTGAGCCAATGCATTCATACATACTAAACTAAGTGTTGTGTAGGAATTAACTTTGTAAGAGTCAGACAACTCGCCCCACTTTTTAGTATTTTACCCACTTGCCCCACTATTGATAAGGAGTTAAATCTTGCTAAATTTATGCCCGTGAACTTGCCCCCTAAAGTAAAGAAGTCATATCCAATTAAATTTAGGCCTGCCAATTCAACTTGCCCCACTTATGAAAATGAATTAAATCCCGATGAATTTAGGCCTACATACTCGCCCCAGTTACAGGTATGAAAATTAGTTTAATACCAATGAATAAAGGTCTGCCAACTTGCCCCACTTATGAAAATTAGTTTATTCCGGTTCAAACTAAAAATGAAGCATTATGGCATGTATGGATATAACTTTACTCAATATACATATATTTTCAATTCTTAAAACAGAAAAAACAAAAAAACAATTCTTAATTATTTATTAAGTATTGTTATTTATCATGTTTATTCATATCAATAAAAAAATCTACTTTGATTTAACAGATAAAGCTAAGAATACCAAGATGAAAGACTGACCCTTCTACTCAGTCACAAAATGTGTCCTGGTTGTTTCAAACTGTTATTACATGTACCTTGCATTTTTGTGAGCTAGCAGGTTGAAAAGCAGAATCAGTCTATTATAAACCCAGCATATACAAATACATGTACATTTAGGACATTAATATGTTATCCTGAATATGCATGTAATATTTGCTACTGGATATTAAGCACCCAAGTCAATCATATGTTATCAGATATTTTTTTGAATATAGAAATCAAGTCCTGATCACCTTACGATCACATAATTTACTTTCAATTTCAATACTTTCAATATTTTGAATTACAAAATAATATTTCATTGGTGGCTTGCGTGACAAATCATACTTACAATCAATTGAGTTATGTCCCTTTGTCTACTATAATTGTCATCAAAGTGACATTACTGTCTTGTACATTGACCTTGTCTTAAAAGACATGGAAGAGAGACACAGTGACATCATATGGTCATGGTTATACCTAGCTGTGGACTGTAGCTCTTATTGTCATGATATTTTTTGACACATTGCAGACTGTAGATCTATGGTCCGCAAATTGTTAAAAAAATTGAAGGACCATAAGAGCTACTGTTTCTTGTGATATTACACTTTGCAGACCATACACATCTAGATCTATGGTCTGCAGATTGTAAAAAATTATAAGGACAATTAGAGCAACTGTTTGGCAGCTAGGTTATATCACTTATATTTTTTAGGTAAAACTTTTTTTTATTCAAAAGACATCCTCCACATTGCTCTAGTCATGCTACATGCAGTACAATGTTATTTTATCTTTAAGCAATACTTTTTCTTATTTTTTCAGAATGGCGAACTATTTACACTGACATATGGAGCACTGGTAGCACAGTTATTAAGAGATTATGAAGATGATGATGAAGTCAATAAACAACTGGAAAAAATGTAAGATTGTTTTGTAACTTACTTGAACATACCAAATACATCAATGCCGTTTGGAAAACGGGGAAGGATCTTAATTCAGAGGAGTAAAAAATGAAAACATTGTAATGGTGGGTGAGTAAAATCTGGGTCCGATTCCCAAGGAGGAATTAAGCTCCATGGGAATCAGATCCAGATTTTTACCTACCCTCCGTTACAAACTTTTCATTATTGCTCCTCGAGATTCATATCCATTCACGGATTTCGGATTGGGATACCACGTGTATTGTATGGTTCATGATCAGCTTAAAAAACAAAGTAATTTACATGTAATTGGCCATGGGTGAACTAAATGTGTAATATTGTATGTGAAAAGTTTCAAGTGTTGCACAAGTTTACAGCTAAAAATTGTAACCTGCTTAGATATTTGTCACAAATCAGATTTAACTCCTTTGTTACTGTTTGCAATACATGTACAATGTATGTTTCAAGTATAAAAAAAAGTTATTGGTAGACTTTATTTGTGTAAGTGTTATTCCCTTTGCCGCCAAACTCTAAAAAAAATGTTTATAAACAATTTTTATTTGTTTAAACCTTGTATATTTCATCACTACCATCTAGTAATGATCTCCAATCAGATTTGCTTTTACCATATATATGCTTAATTTGGTTAGTCTAAAAGAAATCAACCAATTTGTCCTCCAACAGGGTGGCCAAGGGAAATAACTCAAAGCACAAATTAGGTTCTTTTGTAAACTATCGTTAGACAATTTCATAAACTTTAGTTAAACAGAATTTTAATCTCATTAATTGTATCATTTTAATTTCAATTTTTAATGAAGAATTCTGTTAATCTATTTAGAAAATATGTCAGGAGAAAATCAAAACCTCCAAAATGCTTTTGACAATTTATACATATGTTTTCTTTCAAATGATAATGATGTCACTGTGAAGTCTTTATCTATCTTTCATTCACAGACAGAGGAAGACAAGGTAATGATGACAATGTGCCATCATAAAAACAGGTCACGGATATCCCTGCACATTTTAAACTAACTCTGTACTTGTTCGAATGGAGACAATTTGGTATTAACAATTTTTACCTGATCAATCTACAGAGAATTTTGTTTTTTACCTGTCTGACCTTTTTTCAAATTTGCACTTGATTATAAAAGACAACCATTTTTTTCTCATGTTTCAGGGGATACAATATTGGTGTAAGACTGATAGAAGATTTCTTAGCAAGGAATAATTCAAGCAGATGTAATGATTTCAGAGAAACTGCAGATATCATTTCAAAAGTATGTACAGGAATTAACAATTAGAATGTTAACGGTCAAAGAACAATAAGTTGGTGATGTTACAGATTTTTGTAATATTTTACAATCAGCTTTGAAATATATTGGTCTTTAAAGTCAAATGATCTTCAAAATAAATAAAAAAAATACCAATATATTTTATGGCTAAGTTTTAAAATACATGAACATATGCCTTCTTTTAAAAGAAAATCCTTTATTTTATCCAAATCTTTAGAAATGTACAGCTATTAAATTATTGTCTTCTTGACTTCTAAGCTAACAGGTTTTTCATATGGAGTTACCATAACCATGACCCCTCTCCTTAGAAATTTGATAAACGCACATCATGCACATAGCAATAATAAGTGAAAAACAGTGATGGGAGAAAAAGTATACAATCGTTAAGTTCAAAAGGAAGATAAATTTTGATACAACAATAAAAAAAATTAAATATCAAAATTATCAAATGGGAACACATGATAAATGTAACCACAAAAAAAACAACAAAAAAACAAACATTGCTGTATCAACATGATCAAGAATCACTGAATGGAATATTTTTTGGTAGATTATACATGTACATAATAAATGTAGAGAAACATGCATGCATTGGTTCAATAATTTCCTTAACATTATAATTATCAGATTTTATAAGACTTTAACTGAAAACAAAAAACAAATCTATTCTATTTACTGGCTGTATTATTTGCTTCATTATGTTTGAATGAAAATTCTTCAAATAGATGCACATTTGTACAGATAATTTTGTATTGGATTAATTTGAGTAAGAGTTATTCCCCTTTGTCCACATGTTGGAGGGCAACATTAAAATTTCTTCATAAATCAACCAAAATCGACTTTTTATACTGGCTTCTAGCATGTCTAGACTTTAGAAGAAGTTGTTTTCTGAACGATTTTCATTTGTTCAAACCATGTATAAAACTATGTAGGATCTTTTATCAGAATTTTTACATGTTTAAATTTGGTTAGGCTAATTAGAACTTCCAACATAGTGACCAAGGGGAACTGTAATTTTAATTACATAAAAAAAAAACTATTACGGACGTGAATATTCAAAACAATAACGTAGAATTGATCAGATGTAGTTATTTATGCTTCATTACAGGATGAAACTTATTTTACTTTTCTCATTACTTTCAGGTAGGATTTAAGATGTACCTTGGTATAACCCCTGTGGTCAGTAACTGGAGCCCTGCTGGTGATGAGTTCTCATTACTGATAGAAAATAATCCTCTGGCAGATTTTGTAGAATTACCACCAGGACATAATAACTTGAATTTTTCTAATCTTCTGTGTGGAGTATTAAAAGGTGCATTAGAAATGGTATGTTAACTTTATTTTCTTTTTAAAAAGTTTATGCTGTCCCTTTTTATAGCTCCATTCTAGAGAGACGACCCATGTTAAGAAATATGCAGTGCCAGATTTATAGGGCTTAAAACCAGCATTTCTTATAATTCAAATGCTCACCAGAAAAAAAATTTCTTGCACATGTTGTACAGGTGCACTGCTGTCTGAAAAGACTTGTCAAAGGGGTGCTACATACATATTCATGTAGACATGTAGATGTACATGTATAAACATTCTTTAACAGAATCAGGTACAGTTTGGATCTTGATACATGACTTATGTACTAAATTAAAAGTAGTATGGACTTGTGTGTCATTAGAAATGTATGTTGACCTTTAAAGTTTAGATTTTTTGGTTTTTTCCTGTTTTTGTAAAAATTAAATTTTGATGAGGCCATTACAGAAAATATTATGTATCTATGCAGTAATCTTTGAATACATGTATAACTAAATATGCCACTAGTTCTCTAAAAACATGTGTTATTTTCATTTTGGAGGGGAAATGTTTTGGGTTCTTTTATTTTTTGGCATTATTTAATGTAAAATTAAAATAACATAAAACATAGGTTCAAATCACATTTTGATTATGTTGCAATATTCCATTCCAGGTACAAATGGATGTTGATGTGCGGTTTGTACAAGATCAATTAAAGGGAGATAATATAACAGAATTGAGACTTAAATTTTTAAGACGATTAGAAGATGCTATACCTGTAGGAGAAGATTGAGAAATAATTATTTAGAGTTTTTTAATTGGACAATTTAGGGATGGACATTCCAGTGTGCACTTACAAAGTTCATGACCTTTGTCTGATGTCAATTATTGATTGATGAATTTTGTGATCAGATGATATCATGGGTAATTTTAATTGCTGTACACATGGAATTTTTGCCAAATTTACAGAACATTATTTCATTTATTTTGGATTTATAGTAGTTGATATAGAAACATGGAAACATTTTAGATATGTGTTCAACTTTCAACAAAAAACAAAGAAGAGTCTTATTGATCTAAATCTCTTAATTAAATAGAAGTCAAATTTATCTTGTAATTTTAAGATGGTGTTGTAACTTGTACATGTTAATTCATGCATAAAATGTACATAAAATTTAATGTAAATGAGTTATGCAATTTATTGAAAAAGAAAAAATCTTTTTCCTATAGGGATTATATATTTTGTTTATATGTGACCCATTTGTGAAATCTACAAAAAAATGTCTGTATTGACTATTTTTATTGATATATGAATACATGTATTACTATTATAGTCTTAATACTGTTGGACAATAATTGATTTGTTTATAAATTAACATTGATAACATCTCTATTTCTTTTTGTTGTGGCCATGTTAATAAAGTGCAATACTACCGACATTGTTTTTTTTATTTATTTTTTAAATGTTTGCTCTTAATGTTTTCCAGCTGGAAATTGATAAATAATTGGAAATTCTCATGTTTTATTTTTTTTATTTTTAATACAAATATTTTGTAAACACTCTAGTTTTTCCAACAGTATTCTTTAAAAAAAAATATGATGAAAAGCACACATATATTTCTCCCCCTACTAATGATTTACATTTCAAATAACCTTAAAAAAATATATGTTCATTTTTAGGCCCCCGCTGTAGCGGAGGGGGCATTCAGTTTTACCCTTGTCCGTCTGTACGTACGTACGTCCCAAAGTTGGTTTCTGTTCTCTAACTTTAGTTTGCTTCAACCAGATGTTATGAAATTTATACAAAATGCTTATTACCACAAAACACAGATCAAGTCTGAATTTTGATGACGTCTCATTTACCATTCTAGAGTTATGCCCGTTTACAAATGAAAAAATTCTGAATTTTTTGTTTCCGATCTCTAACTTTATTTTGCCTCAACCAAATGTTATTAAACAATGCTTATTACCACAAAATACAGATCAAGTATGAATTTTGGTGGTGTCACTTCAACCGTTCTAGAGTTATGCTCCTTTACAAATGGAAAAATAGAAATCTAATATCTGTCCTAAAAATATCAATGATGTAATTGTTAAAATTAATTTTTTAACCAACTACAATTATGGACAAAGGAAGATAACTCCAATTTTAAAAATTAATTTTAACAATTACATCAACTACAACCAAAGCTTTATACAATGCAATGTTCACGGAAAAAATTAAACCAATCTTTACCTTCAGTGCTTACAAGCACTTTGATTAATGTTCTTCAGTTTTGTCCCTTTATAACCTTATATGATATGGAAGCGGGGGCATCATCTGTGTCCCATGGACACATTCCCCATTTATTTTTTTATTTTTTATATCTGTTTTAAAATATTTATTTCTTCCTTTCTTTTCACACTCAGAGCTCAAAATGCTTGTGTTTTCAGTTTCAAGCCCTTGGACAAAAGTTTATCAGTTTATTATTCTGTTATTTTGAACAAGATATACTGTAAATTTAGAAATTATTGCGTGCATTTATTATTGCGATTTTTGAAAAATGGACAAAAATTTGAAATTAATTATTGCGATGTCAGGAAAATCTGCATACAGATATATGTAAAAGATATAAGAATGCGAGTTCTTATTATTGCGATACTCACTCAGTCGCATTATTCGCATTAATAAAAACCTCGCAATAATTTCTGAATTTACAGTAAGAAAACAAGGGGATTTTGTGTGACAGCCAATTAGAAAACTATCCACAAAACAAACATAATTGAAAAGTGTGTAAACAACAACATGTTACTGTATTGCTTCAACAAAAGGCAAAATCAATCCTGTTAACAAAAGTGAACGAAAATAACTACAGACAAAACTTAACATGCTGATTAAAGTAGAAGCCTGATAATAATTTCAAACATAAAACAAGCAGCAAACTATAGCTGCTAATTTCTGTGTCATTTGGTCTCTTGTGGAGAGTTGTCTGATTGGCAATCATACCACATCTTCTTTTTAGTCCCCTACTGATGAAGTCGAAGGGGACTTTAGGTTTGCACTCTGTCTATTTGTCTGTCTGTTTGTCCGTCCATCTGTCTGTCCATCTGTCAGTCCAGCAAATCAGTTTTCCAGACTTTTTTTCTTCGTGCTTGAAGATATTGATTTGATATTTGGTTTATTGTTTTATCATGACAAGTTACAGGTCAGGTTCAATTTTCACAATTTTAGCTTTTCTCTTTGTTCAGTAAAAGCCCTTTCCCTAGAATTAAATTTTTGATAATACTTATTAATTAGTAGTTTTCTGTTCAAAGGGAAATAACTCATTTTTTAAAAGGCAAAATGACATTTTGGATTTTTTCCTTTTCTTTGGTAAATTGTTTGAAGAATTTAGTGGTAGGTTTGTTTGTCATTCTTGAAGATATTGATTTGATAATTAGTATATAGTTTTATCCTGACAAGTTACAGATCAAGTTGGAATTTTGTTCTGGTCTGATGATTTTGTGCAGAGTTATGGTCTTTGGACATAGAAAATTCACTTAAATAATCAGTTTTCAACATTTTTTCGTCATGCTTGAAGATTTTGACTTGATATTTTTATGTAGTTTACACCTTGACAAGTTATAGATCAATTTAGAATTTTGTTCCATTACAATGAATTTTTAACCGGTAGGGGACTATGTATTGCTATGCAATACTCGCATAATGCTTGTTTAAATTAACAACAACAAACACTGGACTACATGCCTCTTGATTATGCCAGACAAATAAGATAGAATGTGTGTACAGCAGTAACATCTTAGCTGAAGATTATGACAAGGTTTTGAATTTTTGAAGTTTTTTATAGAAAAATAACAGCTGTAATTAAAGGTTTTGCATAAAAATAAGTAATGTAGGCACATTTTTGAGAAATTATAGAATACAAAAATACACTGAATTACAATATACCACAGAAATTTCATGCATAGCCTTGACTTGTTCAGGGTTGGTAAATACTTTTGGTCTTTTTTTTTTGCTGTACCAATCAGCTTTAATTATAAATGATTGTTATTATAGATTATAATTTACAAATACATTGTATGGCATCTATCTTTGCTAAAAGACAAAAGTTTTTGTAGAAATGTGCATCTGTTGCAGAAAAAAATGGTATTGTTGAATGTTATTTGAATGTTTTCAATATAATTTACTGCAACATACTCAGTTATAATGAAGGTCTGAATGGGCTATACAGAAAAGAGAATAAAATGCCAAAATAAAACATTGTGTAAAATAAAGAGTGGTTAAAAAATAGGCCTAAAAAACAAGAATAAAAGGGTGCTAAAATATAGAGAATAACAGGATGCTTAAATATGAAGAATAACAGGATGCTTAAATATGAAGAATAACAGGATGGTAAAATATGAAGAATAACAGGATGGTAAAATATGAAGAATAACAGGATGGTAAAATATAAAGAATACCAGGGTGCTAAAATATGAATAATAACAGGGTGCTAAAATATAAAGAATAACAGGGTGCTAAAATATGAATAATAACAAGGTGCTAAAATATGAATAATAACAGGGTGCTAAAATATAAAGAATACCAGGGTGCTAAAATATGAATAATAACAGGGTGCTAAAATATAAAGAATAACAGGGTGCTAAAATATGAATAATAACAGGGTGCTAAAATATAAAGAATACCAGGGTGCTAAAATATGAATAATAACAGGGTGCTAAAATATAAAGAATACCAGGGTGCTTAAATATGAATAATAACGGTGCTAAAATATGAATAATAACAGGGTGCTAAAATATGAATAATAACAGGGTGCTAAAATATAAAGAATACCAGGGTGCTAAAATATGAATAATGACAGGGTGCTAAAATATAAAGAATAACAAGGTGCTAAAATATACTGTAAATTCAGAAATTATTGCGTGCATTTATTATTGCGATTGTTTTTTTAAATGGACATAAATGCGAGTTTAATTATTGCGATTTCAGGAAAATCTGCATAAAGATATATGTTTCAGATATCGAAATGCGAGTTCTTATTATTGCGATACTCACCCAGTCGCATTATTCGCATTAATAAAAACCTCGCAATAATTTCTGAATTTACAGTAAAGAATAATAGGATGCTAAAATATAAAGAATAACAGGATGCTAAAATATAAAGAATAACAGGGTGCTAAAATATAAAGAATAACAAGGTGCTAATATATGAATAATAACAGGATGCTAAAATATGAATAATAACAGGATGCTAAAATATAAAGAATACCAGGGAGCTAAAATATGAATAATAACAGGTTGCTAAAATATAAAGAATAACAAGGTGCTAAAATATAAAGAATAATAAGGTGCTAAACTATGAATAACAACAAGGTGCTAAAATATGAATAATAACAGGGTGCTAAAATATGAAGAATACCAGGGTGCTAAAATATGAAGAATACCAGGGTGCTAAAATATGAATAATAACAGGGTGCTAAAATATGAAGAATACCAGGGTGCTAAAATATGAATAATAACAAGGTGCTAAAATATGAATAATAAAAAGGTGCTAAAATATGAATAATAACAGGATGGTAAAATATGAAGATAAACAGGATTCTTTAATATAAAGAATAAATGATATTGAACAAAAATAGAAAAGTCATATGGAATAATGACCTAAAATGAATAATATACAGAAATTGATCCTCCAAATCCAGACCCTCAAAGTCATGGTCACACATGAATTTGCAACAACAATTTTCAAGTGGCTAACAATGGTTTATTTGCACTCTTGGTATATAAATGTTGATCCAACAGAAATTCTGAAAATGAGATACAACAATTTTGATTTACTACATTTTTTTGTGTAGTAAGACCCATGACATAAAATGTATTTCTGATGAGTATCTTGATTGGATTTGTAAAATCTTTAACTCACGAACATAGGATGCTATATATATATATTGATTTTATATACTTTATGTACCTCCAAAATTTGAAAAAAATTGCCATGTTAAAAACTTAGTATTAGACCATGAAAGTTCCTTGTTTGGGGACAGATTTGAACGTATGTTAAACAAAAATTATAGTGACCATATACAGGAAGTTTACAATTTATGATTGGTTAATTTAAAAATCCAATGATTAATCTCAATGATAAAAACCCTGTACACCATCAGCACAATGTTATGACCTTGGAAATGGTAATCAAAAGTCACATTCAGGAGGGTCAGGATGAAGGGGAGGGTCCTTTATTTCTGTTTTCATTTTATTTTAGAGCATTTTTCTATTTTTTTTCATATTTTTACCCATTGTTCTCTATTCTTTATCTTTTTGGACCCATTGTTCTCTTTTCTCTATTTTTTTAGGCCCTTAATTCTACACCTTTTCACCAATATTCTCTATTCTGTAAACCCCATTCAGACCCTCATACAGTAAGTATAAAAACCTTTTTGAACTAGAATCACACTACAT